TAATAAATCATCGTAAAAACGAATCTAGATAAAAACAAAGAAATCATATTAAAGCATCACATCCTCGTCATTTCCTGTCAAAGATATCGATTTGAGAGATAATATCTCTTTTCCCAACTTATTAAAGTTTGATTTATTCTACTACAGTTAAATAAACATATAGTTTTTTATTTATTATTCAACATAATTGTCAATTCCATTTATTTTAATCAATAACCATGTCTGCGTCATCCAGAACAACAGAGGATGACAATGATTTTTCAATGTCAAATACATTTCGTCTTTTTTCTGCATGGATCCATCGTAAAATCACAGAATTGGATTTGAATATCAACAAACTTGAATTTTGGACAAATCGTTATACACAGCATGTACAAAGTATCTTGCAAGCAACAAATCAAAACGAACTTACAGTTAATACATTAAAAACAGTAATTTCATCGATTGAACAATTATATGCAAATAAAGACGTTGAATTTTTGCTATCTTCAAAAGAAATGTATGCAGTCATACGTTACAACAAAGAACATAACATTCTGATTAAAACCAAAATTAATACATCGTCAATGAATAAAGTGGATTTATCAATCGTTGATTTAATTAAAAAGGCACATTCCTGGCTCTTCAAAAATTCATTAGATTTAACCAAAATTAGTAATTATCTTACTAAAAATCCAACAATTGAAACATTCTTTATGAATTTAATGAATTTAACTAATAAAAATGAATTGAATTTACTTGGTATCATCGATCATCTATATCTTTTACAATCTTCGGATCCGAAATTTAACTATCTACAAAATCTGCCAGAATTATCATTTATACATTTTACTTTACCATTCTATGATCTGGACACACATGAATTTCATTTGAAACAAAATCTATCTTCATCGTCAACCACAAACACAACAACAGCTGTACATTCTGCTACAACTGATGACAACAGAATAACAACAGCAATAGATAATGAACGAGATTCACGCTCTTCTAGTCCGAACCGATCACGTCACAGTTCTATAAGCAGTGATGTTTCACCATCTTCACCTCGTCATCTATTATTACCAATAACAGTCGTGTCCCCAACATCCCATTCGAATCTTAATAAAACTCCATTGATAACAATGAATAACAAGAATGATCGTCAACAATCACCTGAAGATTTAATTAATAACGATAACGGACAAGAAGATCAAGAATTAATTGACAATGTTAACGATATTAGCTCCTCTGCTGAATTTCAAGAACGACTTCAACGACTAAGAAGTTCTTCAAGTACAGTTCCATTTCCAGTCCTTGATCCATCTACAGCACTAATAACAAATCCTTCAACTACTAACGCTGCAGCCACTTCTGCGCGAACTATTTCTGCTTCTACAATTACTCATCATATTTTACCGCAACGTCATGAACTAGAATCATCATTAACACGATGTAAATGTACGTACTGCTCAATGATCCTAATTAGCAATGAACACAGAAGATTTAACTGCATTGCCACCAATACCGATCCAATTAATTCTTCCGATTCAAACCAATTTGAAGTTTTAAATTTAAAATTTAAATATCCATATCTAAATAAAGAACGCCCATGGTTTGAAATGTCAACAATCAATATTGATAAGGACAATGAGACAAAATCTTTTAAATTAATTCATTCACTACAACAAACGCAAATCTCATCTGCATCTATGTTAACAATGACTAATAATAAAATGAATAAAAATGATCTACCACCTGAAAATATATTCAAAATCGAACTTAATCGGAAAAAACGATTTGAAAATCATTTGGCCATTCTTCACTCACATAAAAATAGGAATTCATTTCCATCTTCGTTATCAACAATGCCACATCCATCAATCGGCAATGACTCAGATGAATTCAATAAAGAATGGAATAAAATCTTAAATGAAAGTCGTCATCAGTTAATGGATTTAACATTGAAATACTTAAATGATTCACTAACTGAAACAAATACAAAAATTGAATCATTATTTCCATCAATTGAACCTAACAAACGTTTAGAAATTGAATCTAAAGTTAATAAGGATTTAGAACCTTTCATTGAACGATCTTGGTGTAAAATGATCCGTCACACAATTAAACCGTCTAAACAAAATGTGGCAAAAACACAACAACAACGACAGTATAATGAAAATGACGACAGTTTTCCTACAATCAATCATTTCAATGATAATCTAACGCATTCTTATTCTAAACGATCAATTTTGAAAACTTGTCAACAACAACAAAAATCAAACAGTAAAAATAAAAAGTAAACCGTTCATTTTAAAGAAGATAATCAGAAAAAAACCACATCAACAACCCCGAACCCTCTTCCCCAAAGACAAACATCAACAACAATAACAGGCAAAAAAGCTTCTTCTGCAACGACAACAACTTCTTATACGATTAAAAATCCGTTGTCTAATTCACAAGTACAAGTAAATAATAATAATAATAATAATAATAATAAAAATTCGAATTATGATAATAACAATTATTATTCAAACCGTAATCGTCGTCCATATTCTTCGTCCTATTATTCAAGCTATAACAATAATTATAAATACGATAATAATAACTACGATAATCAATATTATTATGCTCCGTCGTACTCTCGTTTATATCGCTATAATAATAACCGTTACTATAATAACAGAAATAGACCGTCTTATTATAATAATCACCAAGAACAACAGAGACTATTCTCTGATAATAGCAATAGTTATTATTATAACTTAAATAACCAAAATGAGACTCAAAATTCAAATAATAATTCATTTAATTCAAAAAACTTTCAGGCTCAATTTCAACAGCCTGTACGTTTCCAACCAGCAGCGGCACAGCAACAGCAGCTGCAACTTCAAGCAGATGCACAAACATTTATTCCACCATTAATGCAAACAATACCAAATTACCTACAACAACAACAAATCTATCCTCAAACGTCTATTCAGCAAAGTCCACAACAAC